TCCTCTGTTGAGAATGTACCCTTCCAGAGAAATTTGGTGATTAAATGTATGAGGTAACAACACAGGAATACTTGTTTTGATAAATCTTCCTTTAGGATTTGTTTGTCCTTGTGGGTGGTATACATTCAAACCTGAAACATTTGTGAGAGATTTTTAGGAGATACTTTTTATCACTTCTCCTAGAGATCCCAAGGCTCTTCTTTAAGATTGACAAATGTTGCAGGGAACATCCAAATATCACTGACTGCATGTTAACCGTTTCCACTTTTCTCTTCATTTTTGGCCACTGGACATTTCTGTACTATATTTTTTCAAGGGTGCATTACAATATTTGTCATATTTTATTCCAGTATTTCAAATATGTTTTGCATTAAGATTGTTTACTGTTCGTTTACAATATCTGACACATCTTTTTGGCAAAAATGAACCCACTTTCTTTTGTATTTTTATGTTTTCCCTGTAATAAACATAAAGAACTCACAATTATGACTACATTAGTCCATTCTCACACTGTTGTAATGAACTGTCTGAGACTAGGTAATTTATAAAGGAGAGAGATTTAATTGACTCACAGCTCTGCATGGCTAGGGAGGCCTCAAGAAACTTACTATCACAGCGGAAGGGGAAGCAAACATGTCCTTCTTAACATGATGACAGAAAGAAATGCCGAGCCAAGAGGGAAAAGTCCCTTATTAAACTGCCAGATCTTGTGCAAACTCACTTGCTATCAGGAGAACAGCAGCATAGAGGTAACCACCCCATGATTCAATTGCCTCTCTCTGGGTCCCTCCCAGGGCATATGGGGATTATGGGAACTACAATTCAAGATGAGATTCGGGTGGGTACATAGAAAAATCCTATCAATGACTGGAAGAAGTTATTTGTATTTCAGGGGAAAAAATAAGACATAACATTTGGCCTTCTTGTTTTTCAGAGAAAGGATGGTCTGTATTTTTGGCTCAGGGGCTGTTTAAAGAATATATGTAGTAAGGTCAGTCATACCAATTATCCTTCATACCCAGTTCCTTTCCCTGTTACCATTCACCTTCTGCCACTTCAGTCCAAGTCCTGAACTTACTCCTGACTGATATGAGAGATAAGGACTGGAGTTTGGATATGAGAAAAAGGAAATGCCAAAGGAAAGAGATATCTGATGTAATTAGAAAAGCGGGAGATTTCTCTGATGACTTGTGTATATATATATGTATGTATGTGTGCATATGTGTATGTGTGTGTGATAGAGACAGATTATATGTATTATATCTGCATGTATGTATTTCAGTTATATTATTGAAACTCATAACAATGGCATTGCAAAAATAATTTTCTATGCCCAGAATGGGTACCTATTCGCATTTACTTTTATAATTATTTCTATAATTGGTTCCACAAGTCAATACTGAAATAGCTGGCTTATTCCTACCACCTGCCTAGTACAGATATACAGAGAAGGTAATAATACATATTTAATTTTTTCTTTGCTTTATTTTCCAACAAATCATATGATCACAATATTGGGATAATATCCAACTTAGTATTCTGTTCCTGCATTCAAATGCCAGGATTCTTTTATAGAAAATAGACACCCTTTATAAGAATTAAATGATTGAATATGGAGAAGTGGATGGGTAATTTTAAATGATATTTGAATAAATTTGCATCTGAAAGGTTCTCAGGAAACTTCTTTTAAGAGAAACTTTCTGTAGGTGCATATGCTGTCCATAAATCACTTGATTTGCTTTGACTCTATTTCCTCACTCTTACCAGCATTGCTAGAGTCAAAGCAAAAGCTCCAAAATTGTTTACAGTATCTTCCTTCTTCTCTCAATCAATTGTTATACATTTAGTGATTATCTGTTTTAACTGTTAGGATTTCTGTATTTTCCAGATGCCACTCTCAGGACCTAATCAAAATTCTATAGTAGGTGGAGAGATGTGGTGGAAATGAATGGAAAAGATACTTGGCCTGAAAAAAATTGTGGGGATTGGATAAAGGAAGTGAATTAGAATCCACAGTTAACAAATATAGATCATTGAAACTATGTTGTAGCATTAGAAGGACAGATTTTGATTGGTCTTATTATCTGGTGTTTTCAATCATGTGAAAGAAAATCTCCTTTTAAATGCCCTCAGAACAGATACTGGGGACATTTAAATATTCCCTGCTTTATGTTTCTCTCCAGGGAGAGTTTCTTATTTAAATTTTGGTTACCATTTGAGTAAAATAGAAGACTGCCATTGAGTCATTATTTGTAGGGAGCCATAGATCTCTGCAGTTCCTTCCCCAACTATATTACCTCTGGCACGGAAGTGTAAGGCAGCAATAAATCAATGGGTACTTACAACTCATATTTTTCTATTTACTGATCTACCAGTGCCAGTCCAAAAAAAAAATCAGTAGGTAAAGTTAGGTCCACATTCTATTTTTTTAGGAAAGTCAAAATAATATAGATGATAGGAATTAATAATTATAACAAAAATTCAATTCACTTTTATTAATATTTCTAAGGGTACTTCCATGATTACTGATTATTCTATTTAGATCATGTATTAGTCTGTTCTCACGCTGCTAATAAAGGAATACCCAAGACTGAGTAATTTAGTAAAGGGTAATTTAGTAAAGGAAAGATGTTTACTGGATAATTTAGCAAAAGAAAGATGTTTAATTGATTCACAGTTCCACATGACTGGGGAGGCCTCACAGTCATGGTGGAAGGTGAATGAGGAGCAGGAGCAAAGTCATGTCTTACATGGCAGCAAGCAAGGTAGCGTGTGCAGGGGAACTCCCCTGTATAAAACCATCAGATCTCATGAGACCTATTCACTATCATGAGAACCGCATGGTAAAGACCCACCCCCATGATTCAATTACTCTCACTGGGTCTCTACCACAATATGTGGGAATTATGGGAGCTACAATTTCAGATGAGTTTTAGGTAGGGACATGGTCAAACCATATCAGAACACTTAGAAAACTTTGGCCTTTGGAGAGGAAAATGTCCACTAATAATCTAGATGTAGACTCAGACTACCAGCACATTTTAAATTACTGAGTATTATTCTACTCTAGCGGTGTCTTTAAATCACAAAAACTTTGGAGGAAAATCATAATTGTGTGTTAAGTCATGTTCCTCCTATGATGAGAACTAGAGGGGATTGGAATGAAGAGCACAAAATCTGAGAAGTTGAATGTTGAAATATCACATTCCATGCTTAGGTACAAATAACGTAATAAAGTCCTCCCTCTTACCAAATTAAGAAACCAGTGCTTTTATTTTAAATACTTATGTACAAGTTTTTACTTCTGTTATTTAAGATTTTATTCCATAATGCCTTCTCTTGATACATAATATATTGCATGAACCAGTAAGAAAAGTTCTTAATAAAATAGCAGAATAGTGGATTGATAATTTTTTTAGGCAAACAACGCAGAAAACCTTAATACAAGTAACTACACAGAATTGTTTGCCAACATTTTGAAGTCTAAAGTGATTGTGGGTCCAGAAGAATAGTGAAGTATGAGACATTGTGGGTATGTAATACACCTGCATGCTTCATATAGGCAGAGTCTGATCTGGCATAGTTGGCTAGGAGTATAAAATTATCCACAAGGCAATGTTATTATTTCATTCTCCATAAGAAGATAAGTTCTGTTTTCTAAGATTATTCTAGTAACTTCCATCTTGGTGCTGGGGTGACCATGTTCATAGTTCAAAGCAAATCTGTCACTGTTCCTCAAAACACTAACTTTCCATACAAAATTTAACCCCGTGGGGGAAAAACATGTTTTTTAAATCTAGAAAATATAAAAAGAAAACGTATTCCCATACGGTAGAAAAAGTCTTAAAGAATTTTTCTAAAAATCATTTATCAGTGAAGAACATTTTTCACCCTCAATTTCTTTATTTTTTGTGAAACTAAAAAGTTTTATTCATAGGGTATATTACTATGTCTTTAACAGTCAAATTTTATTAGCAGAAACTGCAATGGAAATTGCACTTTTCACTTAAAGAATGATTGACAAAATATAGAAAATGTCTACCATATGCTATCTATACACTAAATACATTGTTTCCTTTAGCTCAACTAGCATCTTCTGGACATCTCCTACTTCAGAGGCATAGCAAGAAGTCTTCTGGGTAGGAAACAATGAACAGGGTTAAGGCATAAACACCAATATGGGCTCAACACACAAAATAGAATCTGATAAAGTACTGTAATAAATGTATAAAATATGGTGGAAACATCTAGAAAGAGAATAATTTCTTCTCTAGGTGTCAAGACAAGCTCTATTGAAGAGATGTTAATTGAGCCGGCCATAAGGAATAGCTAGAAAAAAAATATTGAGGCAGAGCAAATGGAGTAAACTGAAGTATGGAAAGAAGGAAGGAAGAAAGGAAGGGAAGGTGGGTTTACAATTCAAGACTAGGGTACAAGGGAAAATAATGGGAGATAAACTTGAAAAGTAGCATGAGTATGCATTGGAGAATTATGGAAAACAATCATAAAAAGTTAGAATAGGAGCAACCTACTAAAGCTCCTGAATGGTATGCTAAATAGTTTGTTTTGAGTGGGCAACAAAGAGAATTTTTGAGCTCAGGAAGGTGGTGTATATGGCACTGTCAGAGCTGAGTATTAGGACAAGTATTTCAAGATTGTATTTGTGCCAGGACGAAGATTGTATTAAAGAGATGACTCTGTATTTCTGCCTGCCTTTTAAACTCATATATCAGAAGAAAATATTGGTGCAATACATATATATGCCAGGTATGCCTATAAAAAAGATTTTTTAATAAACAACTAATAATCTGTTTTAATCCTAAAATGGTGGTGATGAAACACTTTCATTTGAAATAAATAATTGAGATCAGACAATATATCTTCATTGCTTACTTAATTTTACTTCTATAGATATGTTCATAACATGTGTTTGAAGACAATTTGAAAGGTTTTGATAGTTTTTATGATCACAATAACAAAATACATTTTTGTTGTTTCAGATGATGGTGCCTGTCCATTAACTGAACAACTGTGGTAAGTTTATTTTGCTCATCTTATGTCTGCACAGAATACTTTTCTTTTTGATATTCCAAAGGATTTATTTTACCCATAAAATCTTCAGTTAAATTCTTTGAAGGAGTTTCCTTTTGGCAATCCATTAGGAATTTTAGGATGTTTTGTTTCTTTTCAATTAAAACTAAGACTTTTGTCAACAGATTTTGTCAACAGAGATGTTTATTTTCACAGATGCTTCACTTACTCAAAGTTTAACAATCTTTCAATCAACTGGAAAAGTAATATCCTGTTGTTAGTTACTCTTTTAGTAGTTATAAGAAATACTTTATAGTTTTTAGATTGATAGCAGAATACCCAGTGTATACTGACACAAAAATTATTTTTTGTTTTCTCTATTATCCTTACAATAAGAGAAAGAAGAAAAAGAATTTACATTCCTTAGCTTACATAATTGCCTTATATTGCTATGATTATTCATTGGAAACTAAGATGAGTGGGTATAACTTGGATCAATATAGTTCATCTCCGGAGAAGTTGCTACCCATTTATGTCTCTCTTGGAAGAATAAACACAACATATTTGTGTGCTTTCACAGTACTGGTAAACTGGTATTTTCAAGGATTCTCTGCACACTGTCAGACTTACAAAAAATTGTTACTCATTTTACTTCTTGAGAGTTTACCAGTTTAGAGCATACTGAGAGAAAGTGTTGCATTTTTTGTTCCTATTCAATTGTGATAAGAAAAATGTTATGAAAGAATGTCTTTGTATAGCATCCTCCCCCTTCCCTCAGACTAGACTGCTTGGTAAAATAAGAAATGGTCAGAGTGGGAGCTGGTTGGCAGGAGGATAACAAGTTTGAAGGTGTAAAAAAATTTACATAGGTTTTGGATAAGAAATAATAGAGCAACTGTATGGGATGCTGTGTGTGGTGTGACTTAAGAAAAAGCAAATGTTGAAGAAAAAAATTAAAAGCCTTACTGTATATTACATTGGTGCTTCTCAAACCTTAATATGTCTATGAGTAATGTGGGCTATCTTTTCAAAATGCAGATTCTGATTGAGAATCTGAGCTGAAGTAGGGCCTAATAATCTGATTTCTGTAAGCTCCCAGGTGATGCGAAGCTTCTGGTTTAAAAACCACACTGTAAATAGTAAGGTAGTATATAAATAACTCTCTTCCTTTGACTCCTCCCCAAGGGACTTCAATCAAGACATTAATTTTCAAATGTTTGATTTGGATTTGACTTTTAGTGCTTCTGATTCACTGTTCAAAGATTATCTTAAGATTACAGCAAAAATGCTGTTTTAGTTCAGTCACATACAAAAAGAACTGGGTCTTGACTAGCTTCTATATCTGGTTTCCCTCTTATTGCCTAATTATTCCAGGGTAAACTGTAAAGGATTTTAAAAAGTCAATCTCTTTCAGTCAAGTAATTTTTGAGTGAACAAAATACAAGATTTTACAAAAATATAAATACATTATTCTAATACTGCAATCTATTCAAAGGCAATCATATCACTTTGTAATAGTCTAATTACAAAAAGCAACAACAATGGTTGTGGGTGTAGATAGTCCTAACCATAATACAAGCGGACATTATCATCATTATTATGCTCGAAAGTACTTGAGTTTTGCTTGAAAATGTGATAAAATGCTTTTGTTTTCATACCACATTCCTACTGACATTATGAATGCTTTCTAGTCTGATTGTTCAGCTTGTGCAGATCTCAAGATTACAGAGAAAAGGGGGTAGACGGCAAAGTTAGTGGGGTTGGTTAGTAACCATGAATAATGGGGCCAAGAGGAAATTGGTATAAGGAAATCTGCCACTGGCCCACTGGTGCAAGGAAATCTGAAGAATTTTCTGAAACCCAGAGTCTTGTAGGCACTTGAAGAAGGCCATAGAAGTAGAAGTTTCAAAATCAATTGAAGTTTTCTGCTAAAACTCTCCTTTCTTAAACCAGGTTACATATCACAATCAACTGTGGAGTCGAAAAGGCTAGTTAGATCTGGGTACTACCCAAACCAATTACCTCAGAGTCTCTCAAAGTAAATGAAGCCTAACAGCTAAACTTTGATGCTTTAGCTCCCTGGTGATTACATCAGGAAATGGAGTTGAAAATCCCTAACATTAGGGCCTGTAATTTTACATTTTCAACAAGTTCTCAAGTGATGTTTATGTTGCTGCTTTGTGGACCACACTTTGAGTAGCCAGGACCTACTAGACGCCATACTTTTTTCATGTTCCTGGGAGGGTCAGCGTCACCTGGGAGTAGTCATCTTCTCTCTAAGGATGCGGGAAGAAAGAGGAAAGGAAGAAAGGAGAGAGGAGACATCCTAATGGCACATGGTAGAGACACGGTAGAATGCGCAGCTCCCCACAGGATTGAATTTATAGGTCAATGGAAAAACCCCTGTACCAAAATATCTTCTCTAATTAAATTATATGGTACCTGAACATGCATTATTAAAATTCATTTGATTTCACTACATTCCAAAGCTGACTATGCAAACATGATCTTTGGTGCAATTGTTACAAATATAGAGCATGGAAGGAGGAGTAGAGGGGGAAGGGATCTGAATTTTAATAACCATCCCAGGTGATTCTAATCAGAAATGGAGCTTGGAAGCGATTGTTTTAGACCACACAACACCATCTTTCTTGACTTTCTTTCAATATGCATACATATACTATTCTATGCATCAATAAAGCTCAATGTAACAAGATAATAATAATAACTAAGAGTTACATGGTGATGACTATTTGCCAGGCACCGTTCAGAGTTTCACATTTATAAGGAAAATCCTAAATAATATGTGCTATTATTACCCTCTTAACATATAATAAAACTGGGGCACAAAAATATAAAATTGTTAAAATTTACTTAACTGGTAAGTGTTAGAACTGAGATTCAAACCCAGATACTCTGGCTCCACAATAAATGTTCTGTAAGCTTCCAATAAGTTGTGAATTGATCCATGTATTCAACAAATGCTTCTGGAGGAGCTCTTATATACTAGGCAATTTTTAAGGTACTAGGAATAGAGCACTAAAGGCAATAAAATATCTTCCCCTATGGAGATGTCCTTTTAGTGAGATATGCAAGTTCTTATTTTTAGAACAGCCAGAATTTTTTAAAAGGCCTCAACATTCATGACATGAAGACATAGAATTCAAATATAGCCATTCCATTTGCTTTCTGAATGATTTTGTCAAATCTCTTTACCTGTTTAGTAATCTGATTAAATGATGTAAAGGGACATGTAAATAACTTATTTTTATTACTTTACATCATCTTTTAACATAATAAAAGTTTTGTGCATATGAATGGTTTAAAAAATAAAAGTTGTGTGTGTATGTATGGTTTAAAAATATCTTAATGAAAAAGATTGATTCTCCCCATGGCAGTAGGGCATCATGAAAGCACTATCAGGAAAGTATTGGTGGCAATGTTGCGGTGTTTGTGTTGGCATGGGTACTAGTAGTTATGATATTTGTGATAATGGTGATGTTGACTGAAATGATGAAATTGATGGTAATTGCTACCACTTATTAAGCACTTACTATAGCTCAGGCTTTGTGCTAAATTATTTATATTCAGTATTTAATCCATTCCACAGCCTTGTGGAAATAATAATATATTTTAGAGCTCAAGAATCTGAGGATTAGAAAGCTTAAACTACTCACCGAAGTCACATAGCTCAGCAAATAACGGAGGCTGAATTTAACCCAAAATATATCAATTATCTATTGCTAGGGAAGAAACCTCCCTAAATCTCAGTGGCTTAAAATAACAATTTGTTATTCCTCATGATGCTGAGAGTAGATTCACTGTGCAGTTATTCCACTCCAATAAGTGTCAATAAGGATCACTCATGCAACTATATTCAGCTAAGAGATTAACTGGAGGTCTCAGTTCTTTCCCATGAGGCCCCTCTTTCTATATGGTGAGTCATCTTCCAACGGCTGTCCATATGTCCTTTCTATAGAGCAGACTAGCATTGTTTTTCACACAGCATGCAGCTCAGCTCCAAGGAGTTTTACACAGTGCCTCTCCTGGTATCAAGCTTGCTAACGTCCCATTGGTCAAAATAAGTTACATGAAAAGCCCAGAGTTAATCAGGAAGATGTCAAGTGTAAGCATACCTGGAGGCATGGTTCAGTCTATCACACCAGATATTGTTGCAGGGCTTTCTCCTCAGTTCAGCTAAAACCAGGTTCTTGTCACACAGCCAGGAAAGATTAGGTTCGTGGACACATAGAAGGGTGAGAAAAGCAATTTATTGGGTGAAAAAGGAAAAAGAGAAAAACCTTCAGCAGAGCAAGAGGGAAGCCAATTAACCAGCTCCTGCCCCATCACACAGGAACTTAAGAGACCAGACTCCTCCCCTCTACAAATGACAGGAACTTCCATGGCTCTATCCCATTCTGCAAGTGTGCAGATTGGTCAGAAGTTCTCCAGGGATCCCTTTTTACCTAGCTGTGTCAATGTGGCTGACTCTAATTACTGTACTATAGTTTCATTACTATAGCATATTCCCTCCCTGAGGAGATTGAAAGTGATCACTGGAAGAAAGCAGACTACAAAATATTGTTGAAGACACATCATAGACAAATTTGACCTGGGATTATTCCAATAACAGTGGGTCATCTATGTAGCCAGGAAGAAATGCATTATAGAAAATCCAGTGTTAGATAAACTGCAAGGTTCAAAGTTCAAAAATTCGGAGAATTTGAAAGGATCTCTTTATAGCCTGATTATCAAATTAGGTTAGAGTCACAGCAAAGATGGTGAAACTGAAAATTTACAAACTAGAATTCTACTCTTGGCCTAACATAGGATCCCATTTTTGCAAGGACACATGTGCAGGCAGGTAGACAACAGAGGGACCGTGGTAATTTTGTATCTACTGATACTAGACAATTTTATCTCAGTTGAATCCTCAAGACCAAACCCAAAGATGCAGAAAAGATCTTGATTTGAATGATTCAAAAGCTAAGATTTCTGCTGTT